TACAATAAAAAGATAAATACTACTTAACTTGAGACTTTGGAAATTTATTCTTCAAAGAGCTTTTCTTTTTTCTTTTGCACTGCCATCCTGGGGAATATTTATACTGAGAAGTTAAAAAAAAACAAATAAAACCTTGACCTTCCTTAAATGCACATGTGAAAAAGGCCAAGAGATAAATTTATAGAACACAGAAAGTGTGTGAAATGGTATGTAAGTTCAGGGACAACTGAGAGTAGAATATTTGCCTGCTTGTATCTATGTTAACTCTAATTTGGCAAATCTTTATATATAATGCGCCCTATATAGTATGGTAGTAAATCTACTACTAATGCAGGGAATCTACTTTAGGTCAAAATTTATTTTCATTTCTTTCTTTTATATGAGATTGAAATATTTTAAGTAGAGGTGGTATTCGCCATTACCTAATTCCTGTGTATTGTTAAAGTTGTAGGCCATTCCTTAGGTATTGCTGTTTGCTCAGCTGGAAATGTTGGATAACATAAATTGATTCCTTCCAGATTGATTTCAAACCTACAATCCAGCGGTGTCTATCTTGTTTACAACTGCTGCATTGTTCAGAGAAACATGCCTTGTTTTAATGATCCCAATGCCTTAATTAAACTACTATATCAACCAGTTATAATTTTCTCTGGATGCTTTTAAACTTTTAAATAAGATTTTGAGCTCTATTCTTATACCTAATCATTGGTGGTAAACCATTAAAAAAATAAAAACACTTGAGATTTTGGTTTATAAAAAGAATACCTGAAGGAATACATAAATATGGGTTTGAATATAAAAATATTTTAAGAATAATAAAATAATTAAAATATTCTCTAGATTGAAAACACAGTGCCATATTGAATTATTCTCTTTCTCTCCCTCTCGCTCTGCTCCTGCCTACTTCCTAACCAGTAAGTTTTCAGTCACAGAAATATCCATAATGTAATTTATCTCTTGTTTTAGGTACTATTTTATATTTTAAAAAATATGCCTTTTACATAGTTCTTATAAATGAAAATCCTGTATTCATCCCTTATAGAATTTTATACAACTGTAAAGAATGTGTGTCGTACAGTTTTTCAGCACACCTGGAATTAAGTGTAAAGCACTCATGATCTTTTAATGCTATATCCTTGTGGAAGAGACATAAGAAAATAGTCTGTGGGGATCCTATATTCATATTTGAAAGGTTTTTTTTTTACTTTCAGGCCTGGTCAGGCTTCATGACTGGTGTATTTTGAGAATGCAGCATTCAAGCACTGTGCTTTATATTCTCCTTATTTATCTCACTTTCCCCAGTTATAGTGCATTTATTCTCACACAGGCAGGAGCATGACAAGAGAGGAAAGAAGATGTCAAAAGGAGATACTGCCAAACTGGGGTGTAAGAATGCTGTCATTTTTCCCTTTGAATTATATTTTAAAGAAAAAGCACAGAAAGATTAGCATTTCCAATACAAATGCAGTCATTCATTATTCTTAGTGCCAATAGTGTTAGCAGGGTATGTCAAAAAAAGAAAAAAGAAAAGAAAGTTAAGATGGCAACTGGGAAGATATGATTGAAGTGCTACCATTTTTTTATAAGCTCTATTTCTATGCTCTGAGAAAAGACTGCTGCTCTGGACTGCATAATACCATTCTGATAGCTTCTATATATCTCTTTGCCCAGGTCTAGATAACTCCTAAAGTTGTACATTGTTTATGGTCATCTGAAGCATGAGTTCAATTCCCAGTAAAGGGTTTGAGCCCCATAGAACAGCACATCTTATAAATTCCCCCAAAGGATTAAATCAGTCATATTGTGCCTCCTAGTGGACAAGTTAATTAAAAATGCAATGCAGTAGGTATCTAGTGTAAAAATATAAAAACCTTGCTCCCTCCCCTTCCCCTCTCCCTCCTCCCCTTGATATTTTTCTTTTTTAAAAAAATATTCTGTGATTCAAGCTTGTATATTTTCTGTCTCAAAATGATAAGAAAATATGTCGGTGTTGCGGAATGTAGTCTGAATTCCCAGGAGGAGGGGCTGCATTCCAGATTGCAAAGAGGCAGCAAAGCATAAAAGATTCAGTTGGGAGGAAGAGAATAAAAACATCTCCTCCCTAGTGATTCTTCTGGTGAAGCAGTGGTTAAAGTGCAGTATTGCAGGGAAAATCTGCCCACAGCCTGTAGTTCAATACTGATGGAGCTACGGTTGATTCAGCCTTCCATCCTTCCAAGGTTGGTAAAATGAGGACCCAGATTGTTGGGGGCAATATGCGAGACATTGTAAACCAAGTTTTAGATTTCACCTGCAAATAATTATTTTTTGCAAGATTTTTGTCTATAAATGAAGAACAATAAAGTAAACTACATAGATGTAACTCCACATATCGTTCTTTGTGAGCCTAAAAGTCACTAATGTACAGCAATACTAATCTGAAATTCTATCATAATAGTCCAGTAAAATAGTAATTTTCAGACAGTGATATGTAGTCAAATCTGGTTTGATTCCTGATGACTGCATGAACAAATGCCAGTCAAATTGACCTATCTTGGGGGGGGGGGGAACCTGTAATTTTTCCAAGGACATTCCAGTAATCTTTTTTATTCCATCCACCATATCCATTGTTTTCCTATTCTATTGCTTTGAGTCTTGGCAAGCATAATAATCTTTCCAGTCTATTATCCACTCAGCCACATCCTCCAGGTTTATGAGATTTTATTTGCTGATTATTATCTTTATTGGTTTAAGTTGCTCTATTTCTTACAGATGTGGTTATTTTTAGTAATTATCCCTAAATTCATTATTCAATCATACCTCACTTCTTTTTAATTCTCACTGTTGCTTAACAATTCAACTTTCACAGCTATATATTATACCATTGGAAATCCTACTGTTTAAGTATACTGATCTTTGTTTCCATTCTTTATGATAAGAGAATGACAGAATAATAGAATTGTAACGGACCTTACAGGTCTTTTAGCCCAACCCACTGCTCAAGCAGGAAATCCTATACCATTTCAGACAAGTGACTATCCAGTCTCTTCTGACTGTTGGAGCACCCACAATTTCTGGAGACGTCATTCCACTGGTTAATTGCTCTCACTGCCAGGAAGTTTCTCATTAGTTCTAAGTCTTGTATAAGTTGACACTGCCTCTAGCATATTGTGCATATTTATCTATTCTTGACTCCGAGGAAATAAAGGTATCTTTGGTTTGATCTTAAAGATCATTAAGAATACAGATTGACATTAAAGGGACAAAATGCACCCTTGTCTCATTCCTTTCTCTGTTTAGAACCTTTCTCTGTTTGTTTCTCCAAACTCAGTTCTTACAATCATTTTTTGCACATTGTAAAGAATCCTCAATAAAATGATCAGGTGATTTAGCATAATTATTAGCCTTAATTTTCCATAATTCTGGAAAATCTACAGCATTATTGACTTTGTATTTCCCTCAACACTGGAACTGTAAAAGAAGAAGCAGAAGCAGAAGCAGAAGCAGAAGCAGAAGCAGAAGGAGAAGGAGAAGGAGAAGGAGAAGGAGAAGGAGAAGGAGAAGAAGAAGAAGAAGAAGAAGAAGAAGAAGAAGAAGAAGAAGAAGAAGAAGAAGAAGAAGAAGAAGAAGAAGAAGAAGAAGAAGAAGAAGAAGAAGAAGAAGAAGAAGAAGAAGAAGAAGAAGAAGAAGAAGAAGTCATTACTTTGTAGCAGTGAGAGAAGGATGGATGAACTTCTTTGCTGCATTATTTTGCTCTCTCCATTATCCATCTTGTTTATTAGCTAAACCAACCTTTCATCTCTCTGGCTTTTCAAAAAGTTGCATATTAATTTGGCATTTCATACACCATGTGCAGTTCTCTCTTTTTTATAATTTATTGTTAATTTGAAACATTTGTATAGCTGTCCATCTTATACCAAATTCTGGGAGGCTCCTCGTCAGGAGTTAAAACAACATAAAACCCATATTAAAACTATTGAAACTATAAAGATTATAAAATAAACATAAAATTACCCATATTCAGAACTATTCAAACTATAAATAATATATTATAAACAAAAATGTGTTTGCATCAGGATTAGTGCATTGGATTGATACTTTAAGTATTATCTTGCATTTTCCTTCTTCAGTATACATATACAGTATAAACTAGTCTCTTAGCCACCAGTTTTTTTTAACAGTGCAATTGTCAACAGTTCAGTGGGTATTTTATCTGTCCTTGATGCTTTCCTATTTGACAGCAAAATTATTGCCTACTTACCTTACTTACTAATGGAAGCAGTTCCTACGCATGTAGATACCCTCTTTACAAATGTTTCTCTCATTCCATAATTCTGGTTGTAAAGGATTTCAATCCAGTTCTCCCATCTTCCTTTAACTTGCCTCTATCAGATTTTACTGTTGATATTCATTACTTTTCATGAACTTGCCCACTAATCATCTTGACACTTGCTTCAGTCTTGTGCACTTTTTCTTGAAGTTTTCATATAATTGATCTTATAATGACTGTGCTTATTATAAAATATATTTAAGTGTACCATCTCAGATTAGTTTCAGGCACAAGATCTTTCCTCAGTGGCTTTTCTGTCTCTTATGGTGAGTTTATAAATGTTCACTCCAGGGGTACTCTTTATAATACCAGTACATCTACCAGATGTAGATTTTTGTACACCTTTGATGTAAACCTGCTGAGAATCCTAAAAGCCTATCTTTTGTCAGTATGTTAACTATTGCTTTCTTTGTGTAAAAAAATACAATGGGATTATTCTCAACTTTCTCTTTATAGAAGCTTTCGTTCCTTAAATATTTAGATGTTTGCTGCCTAACCTATTCTCCTGAGGTAAAGATATTTGCCCTTTACTTTATAATAAAAACAAGTATGACCTTTTGACATGCAAACTGTTCAGAACATGATGAAAGTCTATTAAGAACTGTGAAAAAAGATTCATATTTCTATCCTGAGGCTGTGACTTCTGCATTGTCAAAATGTTATGTGATCTTTTCCTCCTATAAGCGGTTTGATGGTCATTTTGGGCTCTGAGAAAACGTAAATCCCTAGCTCAACCAGTCTCCATTTAAAGCACCAGGTTCTATCCAATTGCAAAAAAAAAAAAAAAGAATACTTGTAGTCAATTCAGCAATGGTGGGAAGGATATTCCATTCAGAATATCTGGGCATTTAGAACAGGAGCTTAAGTCTTGCATGCCCCAAAGAAGAAAAATTGCACTCTGGTGCTGCAATTGTTAGAATGATGAGAGCAAGAACCTGTAGATGCTGCTGTGCCCCACTTGCTTGAAGGAATTTTTAACATCAAACTTATATTTTTCTCCTCTTTCTTAATTTAAGGTTTGTGGAGGTTATTGTTGTGTCCTGAGCCTGCAAAAGCAGGCTCGGGACGTTGCAAGAGTCCCGGGCATTTGCAAAAGCTGCCCGGGACCAGACTGAGTGGCGCCGGCCTTGCGCGCATGCGCAAGGCGGGAAAAGACCGCCTCGTGATTGGTTGAACTTGCCCGGGGATCAGAAGGTATAAATAGAGGCCTGCGTGCCTCTGCTCGGG